TTCAGCAGGTAAGTTTCTGCGTAGCGTGAATGAATAGGTGGGGGGAGATATTACATGGAAGAGACTGGTTCCCAGGGTCGGATCTTGGTTTCCAAAATACAGAAGACAGCGATGGACAGGGCAGGGGTGACCAGTAGGGAGGGCCACCCCCACAGCCCACTTTGGGGTCCCAGCCTACAGGTTGGGGAAACACTGCCTTATAGGCAGGGGTCATGTCCTGCGGGAGCGCACAGCAGCGGAGCTCCGGCAGTAAGGAGCCCAGGGGGCGGGCACATGCAACAAGCCCTGCCCCCTGCTCCCAGCAGCCCTCAGTTGGGCCACGAGGAGCAAGAAGCAGCCAGGTAAATTGCAGAGCCCCCCCCCCAGCCTGCCCAAGCTCTCCCTCCTCTGTGAGGGCAGATCTGTGCGTCCCCCCCTCCCACATAGCTAGCAATCCAAGACAGTCCAGTGGCACCTGTAAGACCCAAGTTTTATTCAGGTACAAGCTCTCCCTCCTTTGCAAGGACAGATCTGCACATCCCCCCCTCCAATAGCTAGCAATCCAAAACAGTCCAGTGGAGCCTGAGCGGTGGGTGTTGCCTTCTGTCACACTTCCGGTGATGTCAGGGGGTGAGTTCCTGCACCTCTTTTTCTACAAAATGGCCCCCGCTTATAGGACAAAGTTTGAGTCCAGTGGCACCTTTAAGACCCAACAAAATTTAGAAGAAGGAGAGAGAGAAGAGATTGGATTCATACCCCACCCTTCACTACCTAAGGGAGTCCCAGAGCGGCTTAGAAACTCCTTTCCCTTCCCCTCCCCACAACAGACACCCAGTGAGGTAAAAGAAGAAGAAGAAGAGATTGGCTTTATACCCTGCCCTTCACTACCCAAGGGAATCCCAGAGTGGCTTACAAACTCCTTTCCCTTCCCCTCCCCACCACAGACACCCTGTGAGGTAGGTGGGGCCGAGAGAGCTCTGGCAGAAACTGCTCTTTTTCAAGAACAGCTCTTGTCAGAGCTACGGCTTGCCCAAGGTCATCCAGCAGGTGCAAGTGGAGGAGTGGAGAATCAAACCCAGCTCTCCCAGATTAGAGTCCGTGCACTTAACCACTACACCAAACTGGGTATCAGCTTTCATGATGAAGAGTGCATGCACATAGAAGCTTATACCCAGAATTAAACTTTGTCGGGTCTTAAAGGTGCCACGGGACTCCAACTTTGTTCTATGGCCTCATAATATATACAACAAGTTAGTTGTTTCTTAAGCCCGGTGTGTTTGTCCGTTTGTCTTACAATACAGCTATGAACCAGAGTTGTTTCCTGGCCTCATATACAGAATGGTCAAGCCAAGAATTGTGTTGCTTATCTTTGTATCTGGAAAAGTAGTATTAACCGGTAAGTGATCTCTGTGAGCTATAGGTGTCACCTTGAAAGCAAATGTGGGTGGGCCCCATGAACGGGAAGCCGTCCCGTTTCCTGGGCCTACTGAAATAAATGGGACATGGGTCTTTGTTCTCATTGTGCTTGCGACCTTTGGGAAAGAGCCAGTGAAGAAGAAGAAGAGATTGGATTTATGCCCCGCCCTTCACCCGGAGTCTCAGAGGGGCTTACAAACTCCTTTCCCTTCCCCTCCCCACAGCAGACACCCTGTGAGTAGAAGAAGAAGAGGAGGAGATTGGATTTATACCCCGCCCTTCACTACCCAAAGGAGTCTCGGAGCGGCTAAAAAACTCCTTTCCCTTCCCCTCCCCACAACAGACACCCCATGGGCCCCGTGGTAGCTACGGGCCTGCCCCAGCCCCACCCTCAAACAGGGACATTGCCTGGGAACTGTCCACAATGTGATGACGTCACCTTGATGTGATGTTATCACGTCAGGGACATCGGGACCGAGCATAGAGTTTTGCCCAAAAACTAGAGCGTCACCCCCCCTGACATCCCCAGTGATATGATGTCCCACTGGTGGAGCTCCTGAGGGCCCCTGGTATTTTTTTGACCACTGTGTGACACAGAGTGTCGGACTGGATGGCCCGTTGGCCTGATCCAACATCGGCTTCTCTTACGTTCTTATGTCTGGGGCAAGTGATGCTCTGTATTCTTAGTGCTGGGGGGGGGCAACAGTGGCTTGGGGGGGCAACCTCTCAGTGCAGCAGCAGCAGGGGGAGTCCCGGGAGAGCTGCCAATCCCCGCCCCGCCGGAGCAGGTCAAGCCCAGGCACCAAGATGGCCCCTTGCAATGGAGCAGGGCTTTTGGCGAGGGCAGGGCAGCAGGCCAAGGGTGAGCGTGGAGCAGGACTTTGGGTGAGGGGCGGGAAGGGGATGGGGCGGAAGGCCAGCGCGGCGCCCTTCTACTTGGCGCCCTTAGACAATTGCCTAACTCTGCCTTATGCAAGCGCCGGCCCTGGGAAGGATGGCTCCAGAGCAAACCAATTTAAGCAGTAGCCAAATCACTCGCTCACTTTAATGCCAGGATCAGCCCTGCTTAGCTTCCGAGGTCTGACAAGATTGGTATTAAATACTGGGTTCAAGACGCATCGCAGTGAACAGATCTACTTTATTAAGCGATTTCAGGAACAAGACTAAAAACCTCTGGGCGACAGCCCTGTTTAAACAGCATGCAAAAACCACACCCAAACACACACCCACTCCCAAGCATAGGCTATTTACATAACATTAGTTCCTCATTGGTCACTTCCAGAGTCCTAGCGGGCTACTGTTCTAGAGCTCCAAGCTCAGCCAGTCTCTGGTCCACAGTCTTGGAATGTTCCAGCCAGGGGTCGTTTAGTAGAAAAAGAGCTAGGGAAACTCATTAGCATAACTCATTAGCATATGCCACACCCCCTGACATCACCGGAAGTGTGTCATAAGGCCACACACCCCGCCCCCAACGGCCCCATGAGGGGCCCGGCGGTGGACCTACAAGGCTGGCAGGAGTGCAAGGAAGCCCCGCGAAGGCCCTCCCTGGCCCCAGGCAGGCAGGGGTGGGGAGAGGCAGGGAGGAAGCAACTTACCTTCCCTCTTCTCCTGCCTCAGGGCCGGAAGCGGGGCAGCCGGAAGCAGGGGGCGGGGCTTCATCATGTGCCCCGCCCCCATACCTCACCCGGGGGAACTGCGATCCCCCGCGTTCCCCCCCGAAATGACCTCTGGTTCCAGCCCTAATATATAACAATCGGGCTTCCCTGGGCTATCCTGGTCTGGTCACACAAATGCACTCCCAGCAATTCTTGTGGTTTAGGGTTGCCTCGTCTGGGTGGAGAAATACAGGGAGATTTTGAGGGTGGCGAGCCCAGGGAGGGCATCATTTGGGGAGGGGCTTCATCATGAGAAAAATGACATCGCGCCCACCCTGCAAAGCAGCCATTTTCTCCAGGGGCACTCATCTTGATTGGAGATCAATTTAGGGATCCCAAGTCCCCCCGGGGGCGGGGAAACCCCCGCCCCAGAGGCCCGTTCCCCGGCGCTGCCGGATCGGGCCCCGGGGGGAACTCCTCCCCGACGTGCACGTCACCCGGAAGTGACGGGAGGATGCCGGGCACGCTGGGGGCGGGGCCACTGCCACACAAGGGAAAGCTCCCGGCAAAGATCAACTTGGCAACCCTAGATCAATTGGAACTGGGGGAGATCTCCAGGTTATCAGGTGGAGGTTGGCCAACCCTACTTATGGGTGAGATTTGTACTGAAACCTAATTTTTAAAAACTGTTTCTTCCCTCTAGGAGCCAAAGACCGCTCAGAGATCTATGAAGCCTTTGAAAATATATATCCTATTCTGAAGGGCTTCAAGAAAGCCACTTGATTTCTGCAGAACTGACAGGCTCATGCATGTTTTATAAGGTCTTAAGCACTCGTTTAGGTTTTGTAATGCTTCCCTGTAGAATATTTTTTTTGTTAGTCAGCAATTCTAGAATATAAAATAAACGTACGTGACAAATCCCAGGTTAGGGCTTGTTCTGTCTCTAGCATCCGGGCGTGTTACTGTCTAGCCACGTAGCAGTTTAGTGCCCTTACACTTCACACTAACGTTTGCCACTTTAGCACCCCCAAGTGTGCAACATGAAGCTGAGCACACTCCAGAGGACGGTGGAAGACAGGAGGGCCTGGCGCGATGTGGTCCACGGGGTCGTGAAGAGTTGGACTCGACTATGCTACTAAACAACAACAAAAACAAAGTGTGCAATAGAAGTTTTAAGAACATCAGAACAGCTGTGCTGGATCAGGCCAATGGTCCATCTAGTCGAACATCCTGTCTCACACTGTGGCCAACTAGCTCCTCTGGAGGACCAACAACAGGGCAGAGAGGCCGAGGCCTTCATTAGAACATCCGAAGAGCCCTGCTGGATCAGACCAGGGGTCCATCTAGTCCAGCCTCCTGTCTCACACGGTGGCCAACCAGTTCCTCTGGAGAGCCAGCAACAGGGCACAGAGGCTGAGGCCTTCATAATAACATGCAAAGAGCCCTGCTGGATCAGACCAGTGGTCCGCCTAGTCCAGCATCCTGTCTCACACAGTGGCCAGCCAATTCCTCTGAAAGTCCAACAACAGGGGAGAGAGGCCGAGGCCTCCATTAGAACATCAGAAGAGCCCTGCTGGATCAAACCAGTGGTCCGTCTAGTCCAGCATCCTGTCTCACACAGTGGCCAGCCAATTCCTCTGGAGGGCCAACAACAGGGCAGAGAGGTCGAGGCCTTCATCAGAACATCAGAAGAGCCCTGCTGGATCAGTATCTAGTCCAGCCTCCTGTCTCACACAGGGGTCAGCCAGTTCCTCTGGAGGGCCAACAACAAGGCAGAGAGGCCGAGGCCTTCCCCTGATATGAACATCAGAAGAGCCCTTCTGGATCAGACCAGTGGTCCATCTAGTCCAGCCTCCTGTCTCACACAGCAGCCAACCAGTTCCTCTGGACAGCTAACAGGGCATAGAGGCCGAGGCCCTCCCCTGGCGTTGCCTTCTGGCTCTGGGATTCAGAGGATTAGTGTCTCTAAATATGGAGGTGCCCCTCAGTCCACATGGCTAGTATGCACTGATAGACTTTAGCCTCCATGAATCATCCCCTTGTTTATTCCTGTGGCCATCACTACATCCTCCAGCAGCAAATTCCAAACTATGTTCCTCCCCTGGAGAGACACCAGGGAAGACTTTTGTTTCACCTTGCAAGGAGAGAGGTGAGGAAATTTTCTTAACTTATTTCTTCACCCAAAGTATGATGAACACATGGAATTCACTGCCACAGGACGTGGTGGCGGCTACAAGCATGGATAGCTTCAAAAGGGAATTAGATAAGCATATGGAGCAGAGGTCCATGAGTGGCTATTAGCCACAAAGTATAGATAGGGGCTCTGGGGCAAGGGATGCTCTGTCATCTTGGTGCTTGGGGGGGGTCAACAGTGGGAGGGCTTCTAGTGTCCTGGCCCCACTGCTGGACCTCCTGATGGCACCTGGTATTTCTGGCCACTGTGTGACACAGGGTGTTGGACTGGATGGGCCTTTGGCCTGATCCAACATTGGCCTCTCTTATGTTCTTATGTTCTAACTTTGGCTCATTTAGCCCAGTTGCAAATAAAACTCTGGTTTTGTATGGCTCGTCTGAATATAGATTCTCTCACAATGGGTCATAGAATCATAGAATATTAGAGTTGGAAGGGACCTTACAGGACATCTAGAAGGTCGCCAGAAGCCTGAACTCCATTTGACACATGCGTACTTGGGATTGAACACACACACATACCCCCGAACTCACTAAGCTTTGGGTTTTTCCGCATGGGGCTTTTTAGTTGGTTCTGGCTCTGTACCGCTCCAGTGTATCCCCTGATTTCTGCAAGCACGTTTTTGCATTTAGTTTTCACTCGATTTGTCGTTGTTCAATCCCTGGCATCTCCAGTTAAAAAGATCGGGTAGTAGGGAAGGGGAAAGACCTCCGCCTGAGAGAGCCGCTGCCAGTCTGAGTAGATTTTGATGGGCCAAGAGTCTGATTCAGTCGAAGGCAGTTTCATGACCACAGGGAGGGTAGGCATACAGAAGAACCCTGCCCAAACTGAAGGAAGAAGAAGTGATTGGATTTATACCCCGCCCTTCACTCAGAGCATCTTCCAATCTCCTTTCCCTTCCCCTCCCCACAACAGACAGCCTGTGAGGGTAGGTGGAGCTGAGAGAGCTCTTTCCAGAACCGTCCTTGAGAGAACAGCTCTGAGAGAACTGTGGCTGGCCCAAGGTCATCCAGCAGCTGCAAGTGGAGGCGTGGGGAATCCAACCCGGTTCTCCGCGCACTTAACCACTACACCAAACTGACTCCAGTGCTTGTGGATTAACTCCCGTGAAAATCAGGAGTCGCTTCCGGCATGTGGAAAATGTCTCTGGCTCTGCAGTTTGTACTTGGTCCCAGGATATGTTTGGAGGAGACATGGTGGACCCCCCATGCTGAAGGAAGCAAGGTCTGGTTTGGTCGGTGCCCACCTGGGAGGTCTGTGCTGTTGGCCCGAAGTTATCCGATGCAGGAAAGGTTGAGAGGTAATTCCTCTTCCCCCGATCTCTACACCAGTTAAGAGCCAGTTTGGTGTCGTGGTGAAGTGCGCGGACTCTAATCTGGGAGAACCGGGTTTGATTCCCCACTCCTCCACTTGCAGCTGCTGGGTGACCTTGGGCAAGCCACAGTTCTGACAAGAAGAGCTGTCCTTGAAAAAGAGCGCTTTGTGCCAAGAGCTCTCTCAGCCCCACCAGCCTCACAGGCAATGCTCCCTCTAAGCTGTGGAGGGGTCCTGTGAGCAAAAATTCTACTTTGTGAGCGACTGGCATTCAAGTTGGATCTGTTTGCTCTGGAGCCCTCCTTCCTGAGCTGAGACAAAAAACGTGGGATCCAGCTGACACTGACTCCGCTTAGAGGGAACACTGGAGGCCACGCCTCCAAGGGAGACCCCGCCCTCCATTCAGAAAAAACAACCCCACCTCTGAGCCTTTTCCTGCTGGCGACGTCAGAGGCACGGCAACCCGCCAGTCCTTAGAAGAACCTTGTCTGGGCGGGGCCTGCGGGGTGACGTCACGCTCCACTGCCGCGCCCCCCGCCTCCCCGCCTCTCGCTCGCGCTCTCTTTTTTCCCGTCATGCACCGGCTTGAAAACAAAGTCCCACGTGACCGCCGGGCCGCCGCGAGCCCGTCGGCAACATGGCGTCTCCCAGGGGGAGAGGAAAAGGAAGGGGCATTGTTTTGCATGTGATTGAGTGCCTGGGTGCATTTGAATAGCTGCTGCCAGCACTCTGCTGGGGGAGGCCTCTATTTAAGGAAACACCTGGCCAGAGGCAGAGGAGACCCAGCTGAGCTCTGAGCAGGAGCAGGAGCAGGAGACAGAGGGGTGAGTGGTTTTTTATTTGCTTTCAGCGGAGAGGATCCAGCTGAGGATTTTGGTGGGAGAACTGGTCTGGGAGTGTGTGGAAGCGCTTGGAGTTTTTGCAGATTCCTGGCTGCTTGAGAGAGGAAAGGGCATTGTTTGACTGTGATTGACTGCAATTGAGAGGAAAAGGAAGGGGCATTGTTTTGCATGTGATTGAGTGCCTGGGTGCATTTGAATAGCTGCTGCCAGCACTCTGCTGGGGGAGGCCTCTATTTAAGGAAGCACCTTGCCAGAGGCACGAGCCTCTGGCACGAGCCGAAGGGCGAGCTAAAGGGCTCTTTGCCCGTGGCTCTTAGCCCAGGGACTCTTGGACTAGGGGCTCTGTGAGACGCCCAAGAAGAGGCAGAAAGTGAAAACCCTAGGCTCCTTGTTTTCCCCATAAAGTAATTTGACTTTGACAAGAAAAAAACACATAAATACAAAGGGATTTAAAAGGGGGATTACATTTACTTATTTTAAAAGAATTATGAAGCCAGAATGCCAGCAGGGGGTTGGGGGCTATCCAGTGTTTTGCACAGAGTGTCACATGTATGACTATCTGCCCACTGGGCAGAAGTCTTGGGTGTGTGCTCGGTGCAAGGAGCTCCTGGTTCTCAGGGAACGTGTGTGCTCCCTTGAGGCCAAGGTGGCTGACCTGGAGAAGCAGAGACAGTCAGCTAGGCGCACAGAAAAGACTCTCGGGGACTTGTTAGCTACGTCCCACTCTGGATCTGGCAGCCCCGCTGCTGTCAGGGAGCATGAGGGTCTAGGGGAAACAGGGCACCGTGCTGAGGATAAGGGGAATGTGCCCTCAGAAGGGACCTCTTCCCCAGCTGGTGAGCGGTTATCCTTTTGCACCAAGGAACCATCCCTGGGCAGGGTGGGAGGGGGGCTCTTGGTAGTGGGTGATTCGATCCTTAGGCAGGTAGACAGCTGGGTGGCGAACCCGCGTACTGACCGTATGGTGACTTGCCTGCCTGGTGCAAAGGTAGCGGACATTACGCGTGTTTTAGATAGGCTGGTAGATAGTGCTGGGGAGGAGCCAGTGGTCGTGGTGCATGTCGGCACCAACGATGTGGGGAAATGCAGTCGTGAGGTCCTGGAGGAGAAATTTAGGCTGCTGGGCAGGAAACTCAAGGCCAGGACCTCCAAGGTAGCCTTCTCAGAAGTGCTACCTGTTCCACGCGCAGGGCCGGAGAGACAGGCACAGATCAGGAGTCTCAATGCGTGGATGAGACGATGGTGTAGAGGGGAAGGGTTCAGGTTTGTTAGGCACTGGGATTCTTTTTGGAACAAGAGGGAGCTGTACAGGCGAGACGGTCTCCACTTGTCCCGAGAAGGAACCAGGCTGCTGGCGCTTAAAATCAAAAAGGTGGCAGAGCAGTTTTTAAACTGAATATTGGGGGAAAGCCGACAGGAGATGAAAAGTCTCTGGT